AGTGTGGTGGCATGCACCTGTAGTCCCAGCTACTCTGGAGGCTGAGGCAGGAGAATTGCTTGAACCTGGGAGGCAGAGGTTGCAGTGAGCCGAGATCTAGCCACTGCACCCCAGTCTGGGAGACAGAGCAAGACTCTGTCTCAAAATAAATAAAAAGTACAGAGAAGTGGAAATATTAAAATAGCTCTGGTCTTAAGGCCAAGCAGCTGACTATGTTTCGAGGGTGAGTCTTGGAGACACTCTGTTTACTAAAGCAGTAAGGAATGAGCAGGTAAGAGAGTAACCAGCATCAATGAGAAATTTAGGAGTGCCTATTCCATAAGGTCAGCATTCGTGATAAAAAGTTTTGTTATAGAACTAAGCTTCCCAAGAGTAATGGGGATGATAAGATCTCAGAATAGCAAAGCCAGGAGGTAACATTTAACTTTAAGAATGAGTGTAGGTATAATTATATGATATGCAGCAAGTGAAGAATGGCAAACTAGGGAGAGTATTTTGTGACTCACAGAGATCTATGATTATGGACTACAGAACATGGTGGTACTCAGAATAGGACATAGGTGGCCAAAAAGGCATAGGAATAGCTGTAGACTCTGTGGATCAAGATCTATATCTATACTCATATCTATATCTATATCCATAGCTAGCTACATCTATATCTATATAATCTATATCCACAGCTGACCCTTGAACAGCACGGGTTTGAACAACATGGGTCCTCTTATACATGGATTTTCTTCTGCCTCTGTCACTTCTCAGACAGCAACATCAACCCCTCCTCTTCCTCATTCTACTCTCAGCCTAATCAACATGAAGATGACCAAGATAAATACCTTTATGATGATCCACTTCCACTTAGTAAACAGTAAATATATTTTCTCCTCCTTGTGATGTTCCTAGTAACATTTTTTCTTCTCTAACTTACATTAACGTAAGAATACGGAATACAATACATATAACACATAAAATGTGTGTTGATTGTTTAAGTTTTCAGTAAGGCTCTGGTCAACAATAGGTTATTAGTAACTGAGTTTTGGGAAAGTCAAAGTTATTCTTTAATTTTTGGTTGCACAGGATATTGGCACTACTAACACTTGTCTCATTTGAGGGCCAACTGTATATGTGTATCTCCATCTGTGTATATTTCAAGAGCTTAAGATTAAACGAGCAAAAAGATAAGTTGCTCCAATGGAAATTCATAAACCTTTATCCAGTTTCCGGATGTGAGTTGATTATTGGACCTAGAATGTATCAACTAAAGGAGAGGCCAGTCCTCCCAAAAACGGGGTCACAGTAAATAGTAGCCTCACTAGTCCTTTCCCATAGATACCCACAGCCATCTTCTCAGGGGAAAGTAGAATACCCATGCATTTGGATGCTGTTGGATACCAGATCTGAGTTGACATTGAAAGCTGGAAACCCAAAATGTGAACACAAACCCCATTAGGATCTCATAATCATGGTCAGAAAATAAATGGGGTCTTGGTGCAGGTTAGTCTTACAGTAGTTTCACAGGGTGCACAGACCCACCATGGGGTCATTTACCCAGTTCTCCAATGTAGAGTTCACCAGTAACCTTCCTTGACCTACGGAGTAAGAATTATTACAACAGGAAAGTCCCAATGGAAGCTCGTTACATTATCTGGGACCTCTCACACATTCTCCACACAAACGAGTGGATAAAAGCAAGAAATTAGAGACATATTCAAGACTTTAAAATGCAGGAGAGGTGAATACTGCCTTCATATGATTCACTAGTTCAGACCCAACAAAAACCATCTAGATCATGGCAGATGACAGTGGATGAATGCAAACCCTATCAAATAAAAATGTAATTATAGTCAATGTGATTGATGCATGTAGAATCGTTTCTGGGGCAAATGAGCACAGTCTTCAATATGGGATATGTGGCAACCAAACTGGCAAATATATGCTTTTCAATAACCACCAGGAAGCAGCATAATAAGTGAATCCATTTCACCTGGAACAGACAGTGGTGGTAACACTCTGTGCTGAACCAGGGATATGTTAATTCTCCTGATCTTTGTCACAGTATCATCTCAAAAGATCTAGGCATTGTGAACATCCTACAATACAGCATGTTGACCCACAATATTGATAATGCCATGTGAATCAGACTTGATGAACATGAAATATGAATTCTGTGGAGATCTTGCTAAGATCCATATGCTCTAGAAGAGAAGAAACAAGGATTCCAGAGGCTGCCACACTGGTAATATTTTTAAGCATCATGTCTAGAGCATACCAGGACACCACTGCTGAATATCCGACCTGCCAGCAAGAGAGCAGCCCGGAGTCCCTCATAACGTACCATCCTATGAGGGGATCAGCCAGTTACTTGCTGTTGATGGAACTGACATACAGTCAGGCGATGAGTGCTTCAGCCAGCACCGTTACATGGGGGCCCAAGAGAACTTGATGTGGCAGTGTGGAATCCTACCTAACTTCACCTTTGGCTAATCAACCCCATATGGAGCACAAGGTATGTAGCAGTGGGCAGGTAACCATAGATACCCTGTTATCCACCCTGTTATCCACAGTATACTTTATACTGCACTATCCAGAAACAGCTGAACGGATAGTGTGATGCAACCACCTCTTGAAGCCATAACAGAGATCCCAGCTTGGAGATGACACCCTGTGAGGTGGAGTGCTGTTCTTCGGGATGCAGTAAGAATTATTACACCAATCACCATCACATGGTAGTGTGTCCACAATAGGTAAAATACATTAATACAGAAAACCAACATGTGGAAAGAGGAGTTGCTCACTCACCTTCATGCCCTGTGAGCCACCTGAGGGAATTTATGCTCTCTCCCAAATAACTATAAGTTTTATGGAGAGGTCCTGGCTCCAAGAGGGGAGGAGCCACCTCCAGGAGGCATAGTAAGGATTTAATTGGAATTAAAGCTATGGTTGTTAGCATAAAGAAAAGAGCTATTCCCACTGGCAATTGGCCTCATCATCATGAGGAAGCAGGACCGCTGTTATGCCAATGGGGACAGGGAGGAATATATTTAGCACTTAAGTGATCCCCTGGGGCATGCTTGGTGCTTCTACTTCCAGCCTTGACTGCAAATGAGCAAGTTCAAGGGCTCAAGCCTGATAGGAACACAATAACCAAGGCTCAGAGCTCTCAGGATGAGGACTCGGGTTACCCTACCAAGCAAGTGACCTAGACCAGAAGCGGGGGTGCCCGTGACCCCTTCTCTCATACATTTCTCTAGAAACTGCGACCAACCAGTTGGAGTGAGCCTAACGAGAGAAACAGCTGGAGCTAAGCAGTGCCAGGGGTGGACTACAGGGCTCCCTATCCTGATCCCATTTGCCAGAAAGATGCCCCATCCCCAAGCTAGTGTAGGTAGGACAGCCAGCGGCTCCCTGTGTTCGCTTGCACGCATCTCCAGGTAGTTGTCCTCAGCCTCCAGGAGCCACCTCATCTGGAGGATTCTGCTCTCTCTGCATCCTCTTCCTCTCCCATGGGTGGCCCATAGCTGGTGGTAACTGATGTAGGATTGCAAAGTTCCAACTACCTTGCCTCTCAGAAAGATGGGTCTGTAATACCATTCACATTCTAGAGCCTCCTGTGGGGTCAAATGAGAATAAAATCCTTTTGGGCTTAGCCTCTTCTACAATCCTATTCTGTTTCCCACTGTTCCTTACTGATTTCTCCTGAGAGCATTTTCTTATAAAAATCACTCGTGCAAACATCCTGGTTTTAGGTCTTTCTTTGGTGCCTTCAACTTAGCAGCATGGCTCAGGGTGAAACCTTTTTCAATATAGCCTTTTTTAGGATAAGAATCACCAACATAGTGGTTGTGTCCTATCCCTCAGATAAAATGATGTGGAAGAAAAAAACAATCGAAGACAACTAGTTTCAAAGCAAATGTGCATATTGAAATAAACACTTTAAAAATTAAAATGCTTAACAGAAGGCCAAAAAAGTAAATGAACAAATAATAGAAAAACATTTTAATGCACAAAAACTGAAAAGCAAAAAAAAAAAAACCAGCAAAATGTTCAGAGGTGTCCATTCAGGTGACAATAAACTCAAGAGTTGACCAAAATCTATGGTAACCATTCATATTGCACAAAAACATTTTGAAGGACACTGATAGTGAGATTGGGAATACTGCTGTTTTAGACTGTGTGCCCTCTGGAGCAAACCCACAAAAGAGGATCTGACAACATATAGTATATTTGGGCAATTAACCTAAGAAACACTGGAGGAAACTTGAGAAATGACCCTGGGAAGGAGGGAAAGTCATTATAGAGTGAGTTCATGATCAGAATGTTCCTGTAGGCATCTGGAATAAATCCCAATGAGGACCTCTGGAAAACTGGTTTGACATACCCTCCACTGGAGGGAAACAAGTCAGGGCATATATCACCAACTCCCACTCATTCTCTGAGTGCTGTTCCTAGAGGCTTTAAGTCTCCAGCCCAGAGTTTGCTCCTTTATCCAGAGAAAGTCCTCAGGCAGAGTTTCAGGTGCCTGCTCTAAGGAACCATTTTCCTGTATTTGAATGGAGAGTGCTGATAGAACAGAGGTGGAGCCCCTGATATCATCTGCTGTGGTCTTCTCCCTCTGCAGGGAAGAACAGCAGAAAATTTGACGGGTAAGGACGAGAATTCAAGAAGGAAAAATAATGAGACACAATGCCCATATATTATTTGTATGCCTCAAAAATTAAAATTTATTTAAGATAGAGGAATAGCTCCATGTGATAAATTATGGTAGAGAGCAAATATTTCAATTCAGGGAACATGGGAGTTGACATATTTCAGAGAAAATTCAAACTTGTATTCATTTGGTAGAGGGTAGCAACATAGTGTTGGGTGAGCATATTTGGAGGCCAAACACAATCCAAGAATTGGTTGGAACTGAGGTTGTCCAGGTGGCCTTGCATGATTTAGTTCACAGGTGGACTCTATCAAGAATGCTGGTGAATAAAGGCAGGTGAGTGTAGGTGAGGGCATCAGCAGCAAGAGCCACTAGAGCAGGTGGGGCGGCAGCAGCTGGACACACAGCAGCTGGGGCGGCAGCAGGTGGTCCTGCAGCAGGTGGTCTGACAGCAGCTGGGGCGGCAGCAGGTGGGTTGGCAGCACACAGACTGGCAGCACTGGGGCCTGCAGCAGCTGGACACACAGCAGCTGGGGCGGCAGCAGGTGGTCCTGCAGCAAGTGGTCTGACAGCAGCTGGGGCGGCAGCAGGTGGGCTGGCAGCACACAGACTGGCAGCACTGGGGTCTGCAGCAGCTGGACACACAGCAGCTGGGGCGGCAGCAGGTGGTCCTGCAGCAGGTGGTCTGGCAGCACTGGGGTCTGCAGCAGCTGGACACACAGCAGCTGGGGCGGCAGCAGGTGGTCCTGCAGCAGGTGGTCTGGCAGCACTGGGGTCTGCAGCAGCTGGACACACAGCAGCTGGGGCGGCAGCAGCTGGAGATGCAGCAGCTGGGGCGGCAGCAGGTGGGCTGGCAGCACACAGACTGGCAGCACTGGGGTCTGCAGCAGCTGGACACACAGCAGCTGGGGCGGCAGCAGGTGGTCCTGCAGCAGGTGGTCTGACAGCAGCTGGGACGGCAGCAGTTCTCTAGGCCACAGCCCTGGTCAGAGCACACAGAGCCACAACAGGAGTTGACCATGGTGTCAGAGGGTGGAGGTTCTGGGTGGGTTTCCAGGAAGATGGGTTTGGAAGGTTTGGAAGTCTCCTTGCCCCAGATCCTCTTTTATACCCTGCTAAGGCCTGATGTCATCAGCTGCAGCACTCTTTCCTTGTTGTTCAGCTGCAGCACTCTTTCCTTGTTGTTGGTGGTCCTGATAAGCAGGCAATTATCAAATTAGGCAAGTTTGTTGTTCTGGTTAACTTCATCCACACAGATGGAAACACTATCTCCTTTCCCTAATGTGTTAGGGCTCCTCAGCTCAGCTCTTCCTGAACCAACTCCTGTGGTAACTCTCTTACTATAACTTCCTCCTAGAGCTGCCATGTGACATCTGCCTGTAAGCACATACTATGTGCTTCAGCCTCATTTGCTTCACACATCATGACTACTCTTGGGTGATTACTATTCTTACAGGCCCACGACTCTTCTTGGTGACTCAGGAGGATAAAACTACATTTTAGTCTGATGGCTTGTTCATTATGGGTCAGATGGCCTGTGAAGGTTTCAGTGTGAAACAGATGACCACTGGTGTGAGAACAAGAACACTGTAGGACCTATCCCTTTTCCATCTTCTGCACTCTGAATTTTCTAGACCTTCTGATGAGAAATACAGAGCTGTTTTAAGGTGGACAACTAAGCTGTAAAAGTTTGATGTTTCCTTTTCCACAGAAACAACCCTCCAAAATTCAGATTCGGGGTCTCTTGTGGAATGTTGGCTTCAGAGAACAGCTATACTAAAAGGTCCAAGTCCCTCATTTTTTTGCTCCCTGGGTCAGATTTTCCTTGTGACTTTGCCTTTCTGCGTTCCTAGCTCTAACAGAGCACATGAACTCATCTCCCCAGGTTCCAAAATTTTCTTGCCAACCCAAGTTGGATGACTCAGTATCCTTGTCTTGCTCTAATTCACTCCCAGCCCTCTTGCTTTCTCTGTTGAATTGCTGGGCCTTGAAGATGCCCTATATTCTGCTGCTTCCTTATAGAAGTTGCTGATCCAGTTTCACACTTTGCATCTTTGCTTTCAAAAAATAAATCAATGAAGAGAGAGAACGAAAGCAGAAAACAGATATCAAGAACAAAGGATATCAGCCTATATTTTTTCATGTAGGGATGGCTGACTATCATTTCAAAAATGTGCAATGTTGTCAATTCGTCAACTCATCCCACCCTTGAGGAGTCAAGGAACCTAGGGAAGGGGGTGGAAAAATGTCTGACTCACCATGATGGAGATGTTTTATGAACTGGGCCGCCTCTGCAGATAATCAGGGGAGGGGTTTCAGTGTAAGCTGGTGTTTCTAAGGGAGATCCAAGAGCCAGATGGAAGGGATTGGATGAATGATAGAGATTCCCTTTCTGCTCTCAGTTGCTTACAAGTCTAATAAATCAAATTGTGGTGTTCTTACAATGCTGTTATGTTCCTAGCCAGTTCCTACTCCTTCCCTGTCCCTAATTTCCAGGTGATTCAACTGGGGTGAAAACAACCTGGGCTCCCAAGTGGACCCTTGCTTGGTGTGCTGGCTGGTGTTCTGAGCCTGCACTGTTCTCTGGCTCTGATGTACCCAGCCATCGTATTTTATTAAGGGACGAAAGTGGTTTCCATGATGCTGTGGGATTAAGACCCTGTGAGCCCCATTGTGGTGTACGAGAACAACTCTAAGATTTCCAGGAGACCTTGTATTCTGGAAAAGAATCATGCCCTTGAGAAGCCGTGATGATTGGTGCCTGCTGATGACTCAGTAGAGATCACTTTATACTAACTATTTATTATTCTTTATGATGTGTGTGTGTGTGTGTGTGTGTGTTTTCCTTAAGATAAATTTAGTTTATGCTTAGGAATCTCTCATGATTTCTTCTAGTACTTTAACAATTTCATGTTTTCTACCTCTACTGAGCTGCAATTGAAATATAAAATTGTATGTATATAAGGCATACACCCTGATGCTCTGATATGTATATATTATGAAATTATTACCACAATCAAATTAGTTAACACCTCCACCACTTTACATAGTTACCATTTTTTTGAGTGTGTATAGTGAGAACATTTAAGATCTACTCTTTCAGCAAATTTCAAATATACAATACAGTGTAATTAACTATAGTCACCATGCTGTACATTAGATCCTCAGAACCTATTCATCTTATAAATGAATATTTTCTCCCTTTGACCAACATTTCCTCATTTCCTCTATCCACAACCTTTGACAATCACCATTCTACCCTCTGTTTCTATGAGTTTTTAGATTCCACATGTAAATGAGATGATTTGTCTTTCATTGTCTGACCTATTTCACTTAGCTTAATGTCCTCGAGGTCCATCCATGTTGTCCCAAATGACAGGATTTTCTTATTTCATGGCTAATAATATTTCAGTGTATGTGTGTGTGTTTGTGTGTGTGTGTAAAATCCTTGCAATCTCACATTGGTGTTTGTGCCTTTGAGGACAGTCTCCTCTTCTACACTTTACAAGTTCCCTTCAGCAGGGAAAGGCTCTCAGCAGTCAGCCCAGCCTGGGATTCTGGACAGTGAAGCTGGTAGCATTTGTGAACAGGCAGGGCTTACTCTTGAGGGTCTCTGGGTGGGTAAAACTCCTGCCCAGGCCCTGAGGTTCAGTGGGGCTGCTGCCTGGGCTTTTGTTGATGTGTGGCTACTGGCTGGGATCCATGGCTAGGTGTGGTCACTGAACAGTTTCATTTTTATGTTGACTATTTTATCTGAATGAAATTTGTTTTGATTTAACAAATGAAATTCTCTCCTTTTTCTTCATTCTGTACATCTTTCATTCATTTCTTTTATTCTTTCTTCCTTTTTTCCCTTTCCTTCTTTCTTTGTTCCGGAATTTGACTACCTGTTTTATAGTATATTTGAAATAATCCTTTCCATACTGCTTTTAAGACACTAGCTTTAGGATATAATTAATTTGTATAGACTTTCAAGTCCATTTCTGGACTCTATTTGATGGCAAACTTCACTGTTTGAAAATCTCTGGGTTAGATATCTCTAACGTGACTTCCAGTTTACAAACCTATACATTTATGACTTTTTTAAATTCCCTTTTACTTGATGACTCATTGTTACCCTTTATCCCTGCTATCCATGTTCATGCTCATCTTTTAAAATGTATAATTGTCCTCAGGTTCAGTCATGTAAAATCCCATTTTTAAGAGTATGGATTCCTATAAGACATAGTAATTTTCCCTACATGCTCATCCTAGGAGAGAAACAATTCAAAATAAAATACCCAGCCACAAATACCTGAAAGACATTTCTGTCTTACATAAATTATGACTTAAAAGAGTGATATAAACTCTTCAAAAATTATTTTTCCCAACAACCATATTACCAGGTTAGTGCTAAATGCACCGAAGTCCTCTAAATATTAGCCATAATTACATAGGCCACAGGAATAAATACAACCTGCATTTTTATACTTCTGGCAACGCATTTTGCCTGTTTTGTGCCTATGTTCATTTCAAAATTTAACTGAGACATAAGCTAATGTTTACCCAGAAAAGTGTATTTAGATTATCATAAGAAAAGAGTGATACCCTTACAAGAAAGACTAAAATGTTAGAACTCTTTCGTCCACAAAGAAATAGAAGGTTGGCTAAGAAACTCTTAACAGCCTTGGCTAGGCACGGTGGCTCAAGCCTGTAATCCCAGTACTTTGGGAGGCCGAGGTGGGCGAATCACGAAGTCAGGAGATCAAGACCATCCTGGCTAACATGGTGAAACCCTTTCTCTACTAAAACTACAAAAAAATTAGCCAGGCGTGGTGGCGGGCACCTGTAGTCCCAGCTACTCAGGAGGCTGAGACAGGAGAATGGCGTGAACCCAGGAGTCGGAGCTTGCAATGAGCAGCCATCGTGCCACTGCACTCCAGCCTGGGCGACAGAGCGAGACTCCATCTAAAAAAAAAGAAACTTTTAAAAGCCTTAAAGTCAAGAGATAAAGAGAATAAAGATAAATTTACTAAATTCAAGAATACCAAGAATACTACTATTCAATAGCGTGTCTTGCAACTAAAAAGCAGCAAATTTTACCCACAAGTAGGAAGCCGCAATACATTTTTCTAAATAAATAAATTTTAAAATTTGACCTTGAAGCAGCCAAGTTGCCCTTCAACAGGAAAATGATTGAACAAACCAAACTATGCTGCACCCATATCTTGGAATACTACTAAGCAATAAAAAGGAACAAACGAAAGCAAACGTTTTATTGCTAATAAGCAATAAAAAGGAAAAAACAAATGATACACTCAATAACTTGGATGATATCAAGGGAATTATGCAGGCTCAAAAGAAAGTCAATAACCAAAGATTAAATACTATAAGAGTCCATATATACATCATCTTTGAAATAAAATGATAGAGATGGAGAACAGAATGATGGTTGCCAGGTGTTGGGACGATGAGTGGACGGGTGTGAGTACGGCCTTATGGAGACAAAACTGTTCTGTATCTAGATCGTGATGGTGGTTACATAAATCTATACACATAATTGCATAGAACTACACACATACACATACACGCACACATGCGAGAACAGGTAATACTAGTAGAATCAGAACATGTTCTGTGGATTGTACCAATGTCAATTTCTGGGACTTGACATATACTACAGTAATCAAAGATGTGACTATTGGGGAAACTTGGTGAAAGGTACATGGTATTTTGTCATACTTTCTTTTATTCAACTTCATGTTAATGTGTAGCTATTTCAAAATAAAAAGTTTAAAAAAAACAAATTAATTGGAGGTAAAAGAAAGCATGCTTTTATTTGTCTGCCTGGCAACTTTATCTCACTGAATTTTTTTTTTTTTTTTTGAGATGGAGTCTCTCTCTGTCACCATGCTGGCGTGCGGTGGCGCGATCTCGGCTCACGGCAATCTCTGCCTCCCAGGTTCAAGCGATTCTCCTGCCTCAGCCTCCTGAGTGGCTGGGACTACAGGTGCCCACCACCACACCCAGCTAATTTTTGTA